ATCAAACATTCTATGCCATGCAAACCAACCTATTTTAGGCCCATTCTATGTACTTAAACCCTAGCCCTTTAAACTAGCCATATTATGATTCATTCACTCCCCATACACTCTTCCATTTCTGTGCAGTTTTTCTCCTCCATTGCAGCCACTATCCAACCACTTCCCATCCCTCCAAAACACTTCACATAATCCTCAAAGCTCACCTTAGACCTTGTGCTACAACAACGAGGAAGAGAAGAGTGCCTAAACGTTCATACAATTCAAGTTTGAGTTGTTGGAATGTTTAGGTGTTTCTTTGATTTCAATGTTTAAATTCAATTTTCTTTGTTTTGTAATGGAAGAGAAGAGTGCCTAAACGTTCATACAATTCAAGTTTGAGTTGTTGGAATGTTTACGTGTTTCTTTGATTTCAAAGTTATGAGGAACTAAACCCCCCTTTAGCTAGGGGGTGATTCGAAACTATGTTTATACTTGCAATATGAATTGATTACTTTTGGTTGGAATTTCATAAGTTGTGGATTCAATTCGTTTAACCGTTTGATTGATAACTTATTTATGTACGTTTATTAAGAATGCGCGCTTAATTTTCATGCATGAATATGACGCTAGAATATAAGTGAGTTTCACCTAATAGTTACGAACTTATATTCACAAGTAGTGGAGGTTGCTTATAAACAATCACGTTAAACGAATTCTTGGCATAAGTTTCATGCGTATTCCATAGTAACGAATGCCTCGTCAACACTTATAATTTTCATTGAACTTAATGATCTTGGTTGAATGTCTCTATCATGCGTATTCCATAGTTAGGGACTTTGATTAAGAATAATTTGGTTGTAATGCGTATCCCATTCAATCCAATGAATCTAGGGAAATCTGAAAGTTAATTTAAGCGAACCTAATTAACTTGGGGCATTGAGTTTCATAATTTATCGAAAGACCAACCGAAAGTCAATCTTGTTTTGCAAGTGTAACATGTGTGGAGAAGAACCCCTTGGCTATTCCATCATCCATATTTTCATCACATTCATATTTACGTTTATTCGTTTTACAATTTGCTTAGTTTATTAACTTGTTTTGTTATTTCAATTTTCGTCAAATCAAACTTCCCCCCCTTATTTTGTTAAGTCTTAATCATTTGATTTGTCTTATTTTATGTTTTTAAGTATTTGGAGTCTTTTGAACTTGTTTTGAGTCTTTTAAGTTTGTCTTAGTGTTTTAAAAGTTAGTTTTATTTATTTAAGTCAAGTGTTTAGCATCCCTAGTTAATCCCCGGTTAGAACGATCCCTACTTACATCATTACTACAATTGTCACAAATAGGGTTTAGTTTGTGTGCGTATAAATCACGCATCAGTTAGGCCCCCAGATGAGCATACACTTACGATTGGGGCCACACTCCTATAATCAACATGAGCAACCTTCCAGGCGAAGTGTTAATTCATGACTAAGCCCAAAATGAGCATCCTCTACCTCACATCCAACAACCTCTTTCTTCCTCTTGGAAGAAGTTAAGTCAATCACGAGCCTCTCAACAGTGGGTAAACCCTCGCAAGTAGCAGAGGAAGTCTTCAGTTTTTTCTTCACTGACGGCTCTCAAGCAGGTGACAAAGATCTCTTTCTCCCCACCTTCATTTGCAGTAGGCTCCAAAATGGTGATCGAACGAGCAAATGCCTCACCCTTGATCTTCTTAATCTCTCCTAATAAGGGCATCTCACATTTCTCCCTATGAAGATGACTGAGTAGCCAACGTCATTCATGGTATTCAGCAGGGATCCCCAAAACGATATACACATTCTTCATGTCTGGAGAAATCTTGGGAATTGAACCAAATTCTGAATCTACATAAACAGATGAGGACAAATCAGAAGGCAGCTTAGCAAAAGTATAAAGAAGCTTAGAGACTAAGTACCTTACTTACCATTGATGAAGGCAGTCAAAACGCGCAGCCCAAGCGAGGAGTCGGATTTCCACTCTCCGTTGAACTCAAGGGTCTCCCTAGACCAGTCATAATCCCTTTTGCTCGAGTGATCGAGGAGCCTATGGCAAGTCCTCAACTGCCCAACACCATCGATGTGACCTATGTCAAAAAAGTACCAAAACTAGTTGGCAGTCAGGTCTAAGTCAAAGAACATACTCAAGTTGTGGAACCCCACCATCACGCGGATTGCGTTTGGAGAGCACTGAGCAATAGCACACTTCATGGAGCAGATCACCTCTTGGAAGAATCAAGGCATGGAAAAGGTGAACCTCAACACGAAGTAGTAGGGTTAAATTTGATAGCTTTTCTAGAACTGCACGGCTCACGGCTGCTACCATCCTTGGCCCATTTCACGGGAACCCTAGATGGAATTGCGTGTTTAAACATCTCAAAGAAGTCCATGAACTGCTTATTGGAACCTACCTTGACATGAGCAGCTCAAAAATAGCCCAGCTTACTTGCAGATCCGCCCTGATGATACAACGGCAGAATGAATTCATCGTTCTTATGTCTCCAGGAAGACATGTTCGAAAATCCTACAATGGCGCAAGGAGAAATTATTAAAATGCTGCTCAAAGAAAAAAAAAAATCAAGATCAAGACCGCAGGAGCCCAGTAACAGCACCAGGCCCCACGACCTAGTCTCATTTCCTCAGCCCAAAGAGTGCATCAGCCCAGATTACATGGCAGGGGGCAGGCGCCCCAGCGCTGCCTCTCTTCCCCTCGCGGCCCAACAAGCCTTCACGGCCCAATTCAAATGGAATGAGGGCTGGCTCCCCCAAGCCTCCCTCTCTCTCGTATCTCTCTCATGATGTACATGCCCAAGCCCAGTAGCCCCTTCAGCCACATAGACTCGCGCCTAGTGGCCCACCTCGAGTAGCCTAGGACCGGCGCCCTAGCGCCCAGGTCCACGAGAGCCTAGCCGAGTCGTGTCATACCAGACCCTTAGCTTATTGCCAAGCTAAGCCTCCTGCAGCAATATGACTACCACGGCAGCAGCACAACAGCCCCACAATTACCATTTTTCACTACTTTTCGACCCCTGTCAAGCCAAAAATTCAAGCGCCGAGGCTCCAAAAAATCAAGAAAAAGGAGAAAATTAATTTTTTTTCTTACCTTGGAAAAGAAGAAAAGTAACAAAATACAATTCTTTACACGTGCAAGCGAAGAAGATTGCTAGGGGAGGGGGAACAAATATCCTCTAGCTTTCTCTCTTTCTTGTGGGGTTTTAATTGCACTCTAAATTTATTTAACCCCTTGCTTGACACAGACTTAAATAGGTTTTGGTGGCAATTACACATTCCCTTACATAGAAGAATTTAAATTCCAAGTCAAAAAGAAAATCCACATCAAATTGAGATACAAACTCCATTACAGTTTTGGATTCCTACACCTCCTGCCCTTTCCTGCGAGCAGCCCAGCAGATGTGGGGATAATCCCAAAAATCATGGAGCTGACACATGGATTATTTCTCAAGAAAGACAAGACTGCCCCTATTAAATGAGCAGGGAGCAGCCTCATTCACCACGCGCAGCTGAGATAGAGCAGACAAAGATCAACAACTGCTCAAGGAACCCTTGCACGTAGGAAAAGTCAAACGTATTTATAATAGAATAATCCCGTATTCTTATCATAAATATATTTCTAATCAGAGAAGACCTCTTTCAAGTAAGTTGTCATAATCCCATTTATTTAGAATTACACAAATATCTTAGAATATTCTCACCCAAATTCCACCCTAGGTCCGGCCACCTCTAAACCCTAGAGGGCCGACCCATCTCCTCCCTTTTCTCCTATAAATACTCCATTTATCTCCAAAATTCAGAGAAGCTTAAGCTACCCCTAAAGAGGCTTTTTGCTTCTCATAAACACTCAAACACATTCTTTACAGAATTCTAACTTTGGCATCGGAGATTCTTCAGCCAAAGCCCCCCTCCCCCCCAAATTCATCGTGGGCATGTAAGGCTTTTGGCCTTACTCTTAGGTGTTATTATTTTGCAGATGCAGATTTGTCAATCAAGAAAAGGCGAAAATTTGCATCCACAATGGGGACTTTATTTATTTAAAGGAATTTGTTAAATTATTTTTACAAGTTTAATAAGTTTATGTAGATCTAGAAGATTGAGAAAAGACACGTCATTCCTCAAGAACTGGAATAGGAAAGTAAGAGTCAAACGTAATTTCGAGTGCAAAAAAATAAATGCTCTTAACAAACAAAGTTCAAGCCCTTGTATGTTGAACCGAATTTCATTTCATCTTTTTAATCTATTTTCATAATTTAACATAAATAATAAATTCAAAAATAAAAAAGTAGAAAATTAACCAACTTCGAAGGTTCAACGTAAGGGGTGTGTCTGCAGGTTAGCTACCTTCTCTCATAGGCAGACACGACGTAATCCCTCAAAGTTTTGACCAACCCCCTCATTTCTTTCCTCCATTCCCTCCCCACCTAATATATAAACATTTTGTATATTCATCCATCACTCCATCCTTACAAGTTACAAGCACATTTGCTCTTCAATCCTTTTTATCTTAATTTCAAGTTTCTACATCAACAAACACCGGGAGCCTCAACCAGTCCCTTTGTGCACTTCTAAGTGCGTATATCATATTTTTGCTTCAACTCATGATTCTGTAATTTGTTTTATCGTAAATAAACCATGATTATTACCAAAATCCTTGTTTTGTTTTGCTTTAGATCTTTGTTTAGGCTTCCTAATCTTGTAATTAACGATCTTGTCTTTTATGGGGTAGTTCTTGTTCATCACTTTTTTTTTTTTACAGAAAAAACGTGTCTTTGATAAAGGGTAAATCACCATATTAATCACCCATTATAATCCTGTTATATTTACCTCAATATTTGGATTCGTAATTTGGTCCTCCCAGGCAATGATGTATTCAAGTCTGTTCATTGTTTACTCATCAATATCCTATTTGTTGTTTGAATGTTCTTTTTTTACTGCTAGCTGCATGTGATGTTTTACCACACCCTTTTACTTTTTACCTGCGTATGGTTAGAGATGTCTGAAGGAAAGGAAGAAGAAACTAAAACCCAAAAAGCTCCCAAATTGAATGAGAGGATTCTTTCATCTCTGTCAAGGAGATCAGTTGCTGCACATCCTTGGCATGATCTTGAAATTGGTACCTACAGTTTGACCCTAAAATAGATCTCTAACTTTTGATTTTACCTTTCTTTTTGGTAGCAATTTTGACGCGCCTTTTTAGTCATGCACTCCAAATTGAATAATTTGCTGTTTTTTTACGCACTCACGGAAGTGCAGGAGGCTAGAGAATGAGCGTTAAAACTCACTAGCTCTTTTCATTTATTCTTTCGTTTCGGTTGTTTTTTCCTGGAAGAAACTGATCATGATGCAAAATCTTTGTCTGCAGGACCTAGTGCACCCAATGTTTTCAACGTTGTATGTATCTGCTCCGTATCAAATAACCTGAGCCAAAGCAAGCGACTAGAGGAAATCATAAATGCTGTTAATAAAATGTTGCTAATTAATTGAATTGTTTGTTGGATTGGTTCAGGTTATTGAGATAACAAAGGGAAGCAAAGTCAAATATGAACTTGACAAGAAGACAGGACTGATTAAGGTGTGAAATTAAAATTCACAGCTCTGAATTACCTTGAGAATTACTTTCCGCATATTTCAAGTATCTAAGTTCAGATGGTCCTTAAATGTTTTACATAAATTCTCAGGTTGATCGGATTTTATATTCGTCGGTAGTGTACCCTCACAATTACGGTTTCATCCCTCGCACCCTGTGCGAAGACAATGATCCACTGGATGTTCTAGTTCTCATGCAGGTGATTTATCAGATTTTTTTAAGTCATCATTTCAAAGAAATTTCGTTAACAAAATTCCATTAGAACGTAGCAAAATAATGAGTATAAGTAATGAAGTATTGATGAGTATTTATATAAATCGATGAATAAACAGGAACCTGTACTTCCGGGTTGCTTTCTGCGAGCCCGAGCCATTGGAGTAATGCCCATGATTGATCAGGTTGAGACTCTACTACTTCTTTCTATAACTGTTCAGTTTAGTGCATGAACTTTCACAATTACTGATTCATGTTTTCAATCCAGGGAGAGAAAGATGATAAGATCATCGCAGTCTGCGCCGATGATCCAGAGTACAGACATTTCACTGAGCTCAATGACCTACCCCCTCATCGCCTTTCAGAGATTCGTTGCTTCTTTGAAGACTGTATCCTTCAGTTCACAATCATACTTTAAAACTTAATGCATCACCTTAGATGTTGCACCATTTTTCTTAACATACTGTATAGACAAGAAGAATGAGAACAAAGAGGTTGCAGTAAACGCCTTTTTGCCCGTTAGCACTGCTCTTGAAGCTATCCAGTACTCAATGTAAGTTTTATCTTTAGGAACCACAAGCATCCGAGACATGGCAGTCGAAGCTCTAATGTTTCTTGTTGCTTAAGAAAGAGATTATAAATTGATGCAGTGTCTAACTTGTATGTTTTGGTGCAGGGATCTTTACGCTGAGTACATACTCCACACCTTAAGGCGGTAAACACACAAGCTACAACATTCCACTAATTACAAATAAGTCATTTTGTCAACGGCAGAAGGAAGATTCCATGCAGAACTTCCCCAGTTTTACCTTTTCTGTTCTGGATAATGATTGGTGATTGTTTGGTTGATTAAGTTGAACGAAATCATTAGAGAATGTTGTTTTCCATTTCACCTTCAATGCGGTATCATCATCGAGTTTGGGGCTTATAGCTTCAGTGGTAGAGCATCTCACCCCCTGTATTCACGACAAGAGTTTGACTCTTTCCCTCGGCATCCTTGGACTTTAAAGTGGAAAAAATTATCATCTTCAAATATTCTCGGATTTATAACTTGTGTCCACAATTATCACAAATTTACTTTGTTAATTTGCTTATTTTATTTATCCAGTTGGCATGAAGAATGTGTTCCAATCCTTTAAAACAATGATTTATTTTCAATTTGGACATGAGAATTCAAAAGATTGGATTTAGAAAATCCACCTCTGCTAGCAACATCATCGACATTGAAACCTAGTAAACAAGGGGCCAAGCAAATTTTGACAATGAGTAAATACATACAACAGTAGGAAGAAGTTGTTACCTTCCTTCCCCTTATGCAATTAGGTTTGATGAAAGGAACTGCATCGTCTTTTAGACCTGCAATTAAGTTTGATGAAAGGAACTACGTCTCATCTTCTAGACCACTTTTTAACGATCACATTTGCAAAAAATCATTCAAATTGGAAACATTTCGCTCATCCAACTAGTACCATATAAATAGACGTATCTAGTGCTTGGTTGAACAACGAATTATCACTTTGTAGATCAAACGTCTAAATTGTTTTCGATTTGGTTGACTTTTTTTTTATAAGTCCGAAGAATAACGGACTACTGAGAATAGGAAAACAAACGGAGAAAGTACAAGGAGCATGATAGCTAACACCAAATCTTCTCTTCCATCGTATTGCTTGTGTGAGAAGCTGAAGTTTCAAACTTTTGGTTCACAAGACTAGAACTTGTGACTTAATCCGATAAAGCAGAGATTGAATGCCACTAAACCAAATGATCATGTGCATATATTCGTGATTTCGAATAGGTAAAACCACATTATATATTGGACCCCAATCATAACCAGCTAAATGAAGCTTTGTTAAAATAATTTCCTGCTTGCATTTTCTACTTTTATTCAATTCGATCAGCAGTACATTTTGAACACTTCAGGTAAATTACAGCTTGTTCTTGGTAAACAGCAATGCTGAGGCATTCACAACCAGAAAAATAGAGTTGCAAACACCGGCACCCGTCATGCCATCACGAGTATAACTTATTTAAAAGCTCCAAGAGAAGAACTGCTGCCGAGTCCCTGGCCTTCTTAACACTGGGCATAGGCTCCCCAACACATTCGTCTGTCCATCCCCCGTCTGAGGTATTCACACGTACGGCAAATGTGAACTTCTTTGCATGTGCAGGGCCACCCTCATTTACACACCTAAAAATACAAACATATCAAACGTTTTGAAACAATAGAAAACCAGCTAAATTTAAAATGGAATAAGAGCTCAAAATCTTAAGCTTGAATCCCTACAAAACTACAAGTTCCAAATTTATCTTTAATTCCCCGTACTTCTTTAGTGATAGTAAGTGTTGATGATGTGTTCAGAACTTCTTACCGGTAGGATGGCATGGGCCAATTTTTACGCAAGCATATGTCATTCAAGGTTTGTCGGGTAAATGTTTGACTACCATTCTTCTTCTTCCCATTCTCTTCCTTCTCTTTTGCTTCAGCTGTTTCCTTATCTTTCAATGCAGCAAGTGCATTCCTAGCAGCCAGTTTCTGTGCCATCTTCTTTTGCGGATTCTGAGCAATTGCCATCTGGATGCCGTCAATGAAGACTTCGACTGTAGCCACATTTCCACTTCGAGTGGCTTTGTATTCCAAGCCTTCAGCCTGTTGCTGGCATCTTTCTTGCAGCTCACGCACAGGATGCATTGGCAGTGTCTCTGGAGTAACCATTGGTTGCAACAGAGGTTGAAAGACCTATGGCCACAGAGATGGAAAGACCAGAAATTCATGGATTAGTTTCCCAAACTCATCACCAAAGAACATCGAAAAGTAAAAATGCAGATAAGCTACGTGCCTTGAGTGAGATCTACCTTCCAAACAGCTGTGGTATTACGTCCACTGTCAAGAAAAATGGCACCCGCTATAGATTCAAAAATGTCACCAAGAACCTTTGGAGCTTTGCAATCTCCTAAACCAAAGGAGTTGAACCCTGGCTTTGATAATTCATTTCCGACTTCTTTCACAAAGCCATTAATCTGTAAACAGAATCCAAAAACACTAAATTAGGATTTAGGCTCTGCTGGCAGCTAACCTGCCTAATCAGTTAAAAAAAAAAAGATAATTACGGCAGACCATCAGCTCCCCATTCAAGTATGAGAATCCAAAAGTTTCAAGGGTAAGAGAGGGAGTTGAGTACCTGTTTTTCAAGGGCACTCGACCCATGCCGAAGGTGCACATGGAGATTATGTTTCACAGCAACATGTGCGAAGTTTTCATTGTTAACAGCAGCAGCTCGCAGGTCAGTCAACCGGCCTGGAGGTAGAATTGTGTAGGTGAAGAACAAGTGCCTTGTAATGAGATGATCTAAGATGGCATCACCAACAAACTCCAGCCGCTGATAGCAGCATACTCCAGCAGATGGTCGAGAAGCATGACTCATGGCTTCTATCAAAAAGCCCCTATCATTAAATTTAAAATTCAAAGCACCTTCTAAGGCATCAAAGTTGACACTCCTAAGTACGCTCTCTGGAACGCTAGATGGCTTGGGTATGCACTCGAGCCCATCGGGATCAAGCTCTATCTCAATTCCAATCCATTTCATGAGATGGTTAGCAGCATTTTTCCCACCTTCAACATAATAAACCCCGATAAGTGCTTCGACAACATCTGCAAGGGTCTTGCTAGAGAGGACTCTATAAGAACTCGAATCACCTTCAAGCTCCCCATCCTCCAGCTCATCATCCTCATATACATCACCAGTGCGATCCATTCTCCCTACAGGATTATCCTCGTCAAACAAGGATGATTCTCCATCATTCGTATACTCATCAAAGACAGGTAACACCCCAGGAGCAGCCCACTGAGATGGAGAAAAGCGATCTGATTGAATATATGACTGAAGTCCTTTTTTCAATGCATACTGGTACAAAACCATGTTGCTAACCATTTGTTGCCTCATCCTAGTAAGCTGACCCTCGTGTTTCTGAGGGTATTTAAGAAATAGAAATCTACTAACAACCCATTTCAGGTAAGCATCACCCAGAAGCTCTGCTCTTTCGTAACAAAATGTCTCCTGGCACGAAGCGGCTGTCAGGGCTTCCAAGATCTGTAGACAGGCAGGTAACACACGTTAACCAAGTAATTAATAGCGAGTTAAAATAAGCACTTGAGATGATAAAATACCTTTGAAGCAGGGACAGGATGGTTTATCATATCTTTAAGTTCGACTGCAAGCAGCATGCTTTCAACCCTTCTCATTATTGATGGTAGTCTCTGGGCACCACGGACAAGTGATCCAGGCAATGGATGTACTAAACACAGCTCGGGAGGGAGGAAAACATAGTACGTTTTGTCAAGAATTTCTTCCGATTCACCATCTTGTTCTGCATAAAACGTCCATTAACTCGAAAAAGAAAAAAAAAGGTGAAATGTAAATTAATTTAAGGGTAATAAGCGAAGCATACCTTCCGCATGTTCAAATCGTGGGGAGAGGAGATTCTTGCAATATGAGACACCGCGCCCTCTTATTAGAGGTTGTTGCTTATAGACCAATTCAACTCCATACCTATTTAAAGAAAGATCAAAAAGCCAAATGCGCCCTTTATTGTGCAAGAAGAAAGAAGAAAGCTTCTCCATCTGTAAGGATTTGCAACTATTGGCACTGGAAAATTTATTGGAACATTCCATTGATGAATCCAACAAATTTCCATCCGACAATAATTAGCTACTTCCTTCCAGATTAAAATTGGGTGGTGTTTGGTTCGTGAAACATGAAAACAATTTTCATTACCCCAGCAAGTGAAAAAGAATATGTTTTCATTCACTTTCTAACATTTCTAAAAACAAAATGCTACTCAGGAACCAAGCACCACCTAGCCTTCCTCTTCTTCAAGCACGTAATCTCGGGCACATCAGCCATCCATTAGGAATCGACTCGTTTCTAGGTTACCATAATAAATCTAAAAAGGCATATTAAAATAACTAAAACAATATCAGACAATCTGGAATGGAAAAGTGTATCATACTTTTGCTTGTAATAATCAGCATATGAGCTGTACTCCACAGGGCCAAGGTAGCCTTCTTTCCAGGGGAAAGAGTTTTTTGCCGTCATATCATAGCATATTGAATCCACATAAAACCTCTTCCCTGAGTGAGCAGCTGTCACAATCTTCCCGACCAAGCCTTCGACACTGACACATGTAGTATCTGCCATAAATAACTTGTCTTTGGGCAAATCCACCGGCTTTCTAATTTCTAGGGCATTCCGATCAGGAATCAATCCAGAAGCTTTAACAACATCAAACTGTGCCACAGCTCCTCTGATACCATAGGTTGGATGGGATTTTTGTCCAAAGGCCATGCCATGACGCAATTTCACGAAACCATACTCCCTTCTGTCTCCACCTAGCGTACGCTCATTTGTGCCAAGGCAAACATCAGGTCGAGCTCTTTGAAGGGGATTGTCCCAAGCCTCTGCACCATTTATGTTTTCAACCAGATCCCAATCTATTTCTTTCATAGGATCCACCAACTTATCACTAACCACAGGGACAAATAAATAAGCCTTTGCATGGTCCCAAGGGGTGGTGGAAGGTTCGACATCCACGTCCAGTACAATACTCATTAATCTTACATGAAAACTTTTAAGGGACACCAACTGTACACAAGAAATTGAAAATTTGATTAAAAGTCTGTAGCTAAAATCTAAACAGTTAATCGTTTCAAAATTAATCACATTCAAGTAGGGTAGTAAACTATTAACCTGACTTTCAGTAATATACATTGAACCCCTGAAAACAAGGGATGCATCTATAGTCATGGTTCGAGCGATAAATAGATCCACCGACATCGATAACACCTATTAACAGAAAACGAGTTAGCAAAGAACGGGGAATTAAAAACAGATACCATCACACCTAAAACGGCAATAAGGTACCTCTGCATCCAGTTCATTTCCTACTAGAACTGCAAAATCCGAAACTTGAGTCAAGAAAGGATCTTTTGA